TACAGAGAGCGCACAGAGCCCGAGTCACTCCGGCGGTGAGCCCAGTGAAGCGGAGATTCAGGAAGCGAGGCTGGAACTGTTTGGCAGCATGTCGCCCACCTCTTCTGATTCCTCTTCGGCCTCCTCGCCGGGTTCTTCGCCTCAGTCGGGGCTGGCTGAAGTCTCCAAGGAGGCGGAGGCAGCATCTGCTATGGCGCCTGGAGCGGACGCACTGACGACAGAACCTCTGCTTCGATTGCTTCGTTGTTGGTTTGCGCTCCTTCTGGAAGCCCAATCATCACCGTCAGTTGGTTTCGGTGATGGGCGTCGACTACGCGATCATCTAGACTTCTATCTACTGCGGGCAGATTCTGGTCTCCGACGACACTGTGTCCAGGCCAGACATCGGTTGGTTCTGGGACTGCAACTTCTGTCCGCAGGCTCAGAGTACATAGCAGACACAGAAGAATTTGGGCGACGTCTTTCCGTTGCCCTGGGTACCACCTATACGCCCCCAGTGACTGCTACGACGACCACAGCAACAACGCGGCCATCTTCTGTCGCCGCTAGCACGAACACCGATGTCTCCTCGGCTGTCCTCGGTCCGACTGCGACCACTGAGACTACTCACTATTCCACCACCACTACAACCACTTCCGGTGCAGTCTCTGAAATGGATTTTGAAGATGACTGAGTCCGTACCCGGTCCCCAATTTTGCGCCATTTTCACTTGACCTGCCTACTATCACCACCTTCGCTTTCACCAAAGAGTACTTCTATTTTTGTCATCGACTTTCGCAATCACTACTTTATTGCTATCTGCTTTTAAAAAATTGTATGTGCCATTCTACATCTTGGTGTTAACATCCTCCGGGCGCGTCACTGTGGCCAAGTTGGGATGGTCCGGGCACTCTGGCTCTTAGGACTAGCGGGCATTTGGGAACAGACAGGCGTTGGTGGTAAAAAAGAGACACGTATTTATTATGAGGCCATTTGAACAGGAGTTAGCTCTAAACTCCTGGTAAACTTGGGTTTGGTTGATGCTAAATGTAGGGTCATAATACACAGTAGGGTAAGTGTTGAGCGCCCGGCTGTAGTAGAGGTCATATTAAGGTCTACTGGGTTTTCAAACAGTAAGCGTTTTTGAGAGGTCTCAATTATTCGCGGATTCTAGCTGTTAGCGCAATGCTGTGTTTTCTCACCCCCGCGAATACCGGTAGTTGGCTCCACTTACCACTTCACACAGTCCTTGGATTGGTAGCGCCTGTATAGTGAGTAAACTTAGATCCAGTCCCGTTTCCGATGAACAAGGGTAAGGTAAGTATATTAAGTTTAAAAAACCACAGTGGTGATGGGACCCGCCGGTGCATTGGTCGCCTCTTGGTGTGTGCGTGAGTCGGTGCGCTAAGCTGATGTGGGTGTGAACCTGTATTATGTGGGGAGGGTCCCCTTTGTGTGGTTATTGATTCATTGTGGGAGCCTGTTGTCCTGTAGGCGGCGTGCGCGTACCTTCCGGCCATCCAGGAATCGTGATCGTAGGACTCCTAGTGCAACATAGATGCCAGAGGCGGAAATGTTATACGTGCTTAGGGCGCCGCAGTCTTGACCACGGTGTTTCAAGCAAAGGTCTACCTATGTGTGATGATGG